TAGTTTTCAAATTTATAAATTTTGCCCCCTGTTTGATGGGTTAATTGTCCCTTTGGTCATTCAAATGTTGTTCACTGTTTTGTCCACTAAATTTATCCAAACGTTGGACGCTACTCATTGATATGACAATTGTTTCAAAACTTTAACGGAATTAGTGATGTAGCTAACAGAATACACGTATGATGCCCGTCGAACCGTTAACAAATTATTACGTCTTCGATTGCTCGTTAAGCTTTAAAAAAGTTTTCAATTGCAAACTAAACTTTGAAAAGGTTTTTGATTGCTCAATAAATTTTGAAGTGGTCGAATTTTGGTCAATAAACATATAAAAATGACGTTGACCAGTTGTTCGTTAAAAAACGTGTACTGCAAGCGCATAGATTGCATAAAAGTAATAAAACGGGTAAACAAATTCGATTTCCCGATCCCACGAGTAATGTTTACTAAATTATACAATAGTTAAATTTAATTTTAATATATTTTTATAAAATTTTGAACTATTTTTATCATTTGAAAATATATAGTCCATCTAATTAAATTTACTACGTGTTTTATTGTGAAATTCATTTAAAATTTATTGTGTGTTTCATTACAAAAATCCTAATTTTAATTAATTTGTCCGTTTCGTTTCATTGCAAAATTCATTTAATTAAATTTATTGTATGTTTCATTAAAAAATTCAAATTCTATTTTAATTTTAACAACAAGACATGCAATAAACTTGAATTTTTCAAATGATGAAAATAGCTTAACATTTTACGAAAATATGTTAAAATTAAATTTATTTACTGTGTAATTGAGTAGTCATTTCTTGTGGGATCGACGTACTCGTTTATCTGCTTTATTATTTTTACGCAACCCTGCATGCTTGCGGTACACATTTTTTAACGAACAGCAAGTCAGTTTATTTTTATAAGTTTAATGGTCAAATTTCGACCACTTCAAAGTTCAGTGAGCAATCAAAGATATTTTTCAAAACTTCGTGGGTAACCGAATTTTTTTTAAAGTTTAGTGAGCAGTTGAAAACATGACAATTTATTAACTATGCGATAGGTGTTATATTTGCATTTCGTTAGCTATGTCATTAATTTCATTAAAAATTTTGGAACATATGTTATGCCGATGAATAACGTTCAACATTTGGATAAGTTTAGTGGTCAAAACTCAACATTTTAAATTTCAGTGAGCAATCGAAAATGCAAACATAAGTTCGGTCACCATTGGGACAATTAACTCCAGTTTGATAGAAATTAAATTCTAGATTCTGATTTACATTAAAGTTAACAATGAATTTCAGTTGCATATTTCATGGGATTCACGATTTTTCAACTACACATTTCATTCACTTTTATTAAAATATAAAAAAATTAATTCCCACTAAACAAGGGTTTTATTTCAATTAAGATACTTTTACTTTAGTCGAGACTCAACATTTTAAATTTCAGCGAGCAATCGAAAATGCAGACATAAGTTCGGTGACCATTGGGACAATTAACTCCAGTTTGATAGAAATTAAATTCTAGATTCTGATTTACATTAAAGCTAACAATGAATTTCAATTGCATATTTCATGAGATTCACAATTTTTCAACTACACATTTCATTTACTTTTATTAAAATATAAAAAAAATTAACTCCCACTAAACAAGGGTTTTATTTCAGTTAAGATACTTTTACTTTAGTCGAGACGTGACATGGGAAACAGAAATTTAATTAGAAGGGTGAAAAAGAATTATGTTAATATGTTATCTATATTAAGCAATATCAGTAGTCATTGTATGTAACAACTTATTATTTGAGGTAACACTATTACATGAAATTGATGCTTCAAATAACAAGTCTTCGCGTAAAATGACTAATGCAGTCGCTGACTATAAATAGCATTATTCGTGCAAAATATTTGTAAAATTTATGTCTATGATCAATGCAATTTCTTCTTATGACACTTCATCTCCATTCTTTGGACAACGAATTACACTTCTTTTTAAGCAAAAATCAACGTAGTTTTGGTGGATTTTTAAGTTCCATCAAGAAAAGCTTATAGGGTTTGGATTCTTCAATCATATATAAAATCAAACTCACAAGAACAGACGAATGAGAGCATAAACTCGATATCCAAGAAGCAAAACAATGCAACATATGAAAACACGAAATAAATTTGAAAGTACTACTTTCTATACCAAAAAAAAAAAAAAAGAAAGAAAGAAAGCGAGACACGTACTACTTCTAATACTAGGAAGTCCATATTTGTTAATTTGCACAAGAGCCTGAAGTTGTCGTGGTAGATTAAGAGGTCTATACTCCTGATAATGGTGTTGGTCTCAATTCTCCGATGCAACTGAATCGGCATTGTGATTCCCCTCATGGTAAGGGTAAAAAGTAGTATCACCGTCAAAAGAGAGACGTGTATGATATGTCTGATAATTATCTCAATCTCCCATGGTCATCCATTCCTAGTAACAGTCACAAACAAGTATGACATCACTCAAATATATGTTAATCCAAGTGTTGAGCAAGTAAAATCCCATCCGAGATAACATGTAACTTAGTCTCCATATGACGACAATAAAACCCTGATATAGCGTCTGGCATCAAATAATGTCCCCAACACTAGCAAATTCATTCGACGCATCTATCAGTGTTGACCTTATAAGATCCCACGGGTGAAAAACACCAAAGAACTAATATAGGGGTGCTAGGGAAGGAAGAGTTAAAAAAATAAATAAAAATAAACCAAAAAGTGAAGTGATAGTCAAGTCCTCACGCTAATGAACATGTTGAAACAAACGACCCATTTGGAGAAATGAATTCATGCTATAGGCTCTTCAAAGAGAAATGCTATTCATCCCCACTAGGGATACATCCCTAGTCTATGTGGCGTTAATGTGGCATTAAATGATAGGTGAAATTAAATAAGTCATTTAATTTTACATATCATTTAACCAATCATTTACATCCACATAGACTGGGGATGCATCCCCACTGGGGATGAATAGCATTTTTCCTCTTCAAATGATCCATCTAAACTCTATGTGTATCTTCCTGTGCTTCGCATAGTTCTTCTTCGTCCATAAGAACTAAAATATCAATTGAAATGATAGTGGAAATATGTCTATTTCGAACACACTAGGTCAAATATCTCCATCTTTATAGTGACAACCTATGACTTGTGCTCGACAGTTCTCTTACGTAATGACCGCTTTGAGGGAGCTTAACCCATTTTACTCCTCGTGAATTTCTATTACGTCTCCAAGACTGGAATTCAAACCTCTATTCATGAGGGGTAAGATAGGTTAAACTCTTCCAAATAAAACATTACATAAGAGAACAGTCGAGAACGAAGCCTTGATCGTTACAAAAAATGTGTCACTTGGGTTCGAATATTAGGAAACGTGACAGAAATTTGTGAGGAGTGAGATGAGTTTAAACTCTTTTAAAGCGGCGAGTACGTTTGATATAACAAGTTGGGCACAAGTCCAAGTCGTTACATCTAGAATCAAGGTCTAACTCACTTACCTAATTTCATAAATATCTCGCAAACGATGTCATACCTAATAAAAAATGGTGTTGCCCTTGAAAATATGTGTAATAGTGTCGGTATTTGAACAACACTCGCAGGAATGGGCCATGTGACAGTTAATCCTTCTCTGAATAACCACATCGACCTGTATCACAATTTTTAGAAGAAGAAATAAATTGTGATATGTATAATGGAACTCCACATCAGCCGATATGAATCCTGAGATTGCTGTCTAGAACGGACTAATTGTCAAGCCGACTTGGTAGCAAAGCTACTATCTTGTGTATCCCCCTAAATAACTCGATCCATGACATTTCCAAATAGAAGTATAGCCCCAATCTATTCAATCATAAATGGAAGAGCATATGATAGTCATTCAATATCACATCTTGTGCCATCATAAAAGTATTGCACCCCAATAGATGTGTATTACAGGCGTGGAAATAAGGATGTCAAAGTTGCCTCTTTCATCTAACAATCACATTGTAGAAAATTTGTCTTGTTCCAAGGTTCCACGAAATGCATGGCTCAGCCAATGGTCCAAGGTAAAGCCGAATATGGAGTTGCTGCTAGCCTCGTGCAATATTTCTCTATGAATGAAAAAGTCACCGAAGTGCCAAATCTTTAGAAAAAGTGGGGCTAAAACAAACCTTTACCGAGTCCCTGTTTGAGCCACATTAAAATTTTCATTTTCATTTTTCTACTCATTTTCAACCACACATTTTTTAATAAAATAATATTTTTGTCATATCAATAACTTTTTTTTCGATCACACATTCTCGATCAATCTATTATTTCAAAATATATTCTTCTAAAATAATGTGACTCAAACACATCCTAAACTTAGATTTTTATTAAATTTGATGAAATGTGTGATTGAAAAGTTGTGAATTTATAAACATGTTTAATCCCTATTAATTTTAAAATATATTTTTCTCTTTTTTACTTTCAACTACACATTTTTCAATAAAATAATATCACACTCAAATTTAATTTTTTTCTTTATTTTTTAATCACATATTTTCTATTAAATCACTATTTCAAAAACAAAAGAATGAGGTTCAAACAAGTTTAAGCCCCTGTTTGAGCTACATTCAATTTTTCATTTTCATTCTTCTACTCATTTTAACCACACATTATTCAATAAAATAATATTTTTCATCATATCAATAATTTTTCCTTCTTTTTTAACCACAAATTCTTCATCAATTTACTATTTTAAAATACAATTTTTCAAAATAACGTTGCTCAAATACATTCTAAAATTATTGATTGAGTTGACATTCTAATTGGAGTTGTGGCTTAAAATCAGCCCCTTCCGTCTTGTCATTATCACGGGCTGAAGTAAGGGCAATTTTGGGATTCTCTATCTCGAAGAAATTGCGAGATACCGCTTATTGCTGTTGAGCCGGGCTGCCCTAAATTTTTTTGTAACATTTTATTTTGATTTGCGTTTTCACTGTTAGGTCTAAATGAGGAAATGCTGATTTCGAGTATGATATATCCGGTAGATGCTAATGCTATGCATAGTTTTTTGGTTACTACAGTTGCAGGTAAAAGTCACATCATCTCTGAACGCGCTATTTTACAATCATTTATTATTTATTTTTGTTTACGGGTTCCATTAATCTGAATCTTAAAATTGTTAATTATATAAATTTCAGCTGTTATTTTTCAAGCACTTGGAGCTGCTTCAGTTATTGTGCCGAGCACCAGTTGTTACGTCCTTGATAATTCCAGCTACATTCATGATTTTGTATCCTTTAGGATGAAATGTTGCATTTTTAATTGACTTGACAGCGTATCTTTTGCAAAAAATAATTAGGGTAAAAGGCCAACAGGGAGTTATTTTAACATAGAGTTGAATTCTAGTTAATGTTATTTCACTTCTGTTAAATATGATTTTTATTTTTTTATTTTTTTGGGTGGGGTTTGGTGGTGGTGAGTGGGTGTATAGGAGCTTTATCTTGCCAATTGGTACGAGAATAATTTCTTGATCATGGAATCTTAACTAGAAATAATGGCATTGGAATTTGCATTTTTCTGTTTAAAGAATATGAATTCTCCTGGTTGAAGTTAGTAGAATTTAAGTTTTGAACTTGTTTTCTCTCAAGTCTTTGCCCAGAGTAGCTGGATTGGACATCATTTTGAGTACGAGGGAAATGAGGTAATGTTGCATATGAAAAATCAAGCATTAGAACTTTTTGGAGTTTCAGGTATAGGCCAGATGTAATGCTCCTAGATAAATGTATTAAGGCCTAAAGTTTTCTATATCTATATTTGTGCAGAACGCTGATTTAGCTTTACGATTTTGTAAAGACGTGGAGGCTAGATCGCAGATGGTAACTTACTTACTTAGCCCATGGTTTTCTTTACTTATCAGTATATTTATGTGAGTCTGCAGGACAAATGATTGAGATTCTCCATCTTGATCAATGATAACAGTAAAAATGGAAGACAATAAATTATGATAGCAGTTGGATTGTGAGAGCTAGAATAATGCAGGTCATTTAAAAGATTCTCTATACTTGACATAGGAACAACAGAAAAGGCGGTGATTATTTGCTCAATTCTACATCTAAACCTAGTGAAAAATCACATTTTAATTTCATGAACCAGGTAACAGAGACTCATATTTGAAAATCCTCGAGCAAACCCATGAATTCAATTCTTAGTAACATTATAGCTTAAGTGGACATGCTCGGTTATGTTACAGCTTAAGTGGACATGCTCGGTTATGTATTTACATACCTCTATTTTCTGTGCCATTCAAATTTGTTGGTGTTCACATTGATAATTTGTGATGCAAATTGTTTTTCATGTGATTGTGGACTGATAGGGTTATGTCGATTTTGGAAGATTTGATAGGTTCAATTATTTTGCTGCCAGTTCTGGACATGCCAACTTTGTTCAAGTAAGTCTGATAGCCTTTTTTAAATTATCAAAGTTATCTTTATATGCTAAAACAAGTTAGACTTGACACGTGTTTGGGGTAGGCAAGTTATACGAGATTTCCTTTCAAACTTCTAGATAATTATGGGCCTTCCATCACATTGTTCACATTACGTTGAAAATTGTTTCTCTTTGTATGTAAGTGCATCTTCTTATTATCTTTGTCCATCCCACTCTCTCTACTGGTCACCTTTGGTTGCCAGGGAAGGATGTGGTCTCAGGAGATCAGAGGGGATTGAAAAATTTCTCTCTGTGTATTTGGTTAAGAGATAAAAGCCAACAAATGGACTCCTTAGTTGTCAGCAAAATTAAGTAATGTAGGTGTAGGATATGCTAATTATTCCAATGAGAGATGGCGGCCAAAATGATTAACTGGTGTCCGGTGATGAAGGCCTAACCTCGAACTATTGAATTCTATGTATATTAATTCGGTGTGAGATTTCAAATATATTAAGGGGGTGTTTGTTTCTGATTTTGAGAATTGATTCTCAAATCAATTCTCATTTTCAATGACACATTCTTCAATAAAATAATATTTTCCATCACATCAATAATTTTTTTTTCTTTTTCAACCACACATTTCCCATCATATCACTATTCAAAATCAATTCTTCCCACAAAAATTCCTACCAAACAAGCACTAAAACCAAAACCTCGGTAATGATGTGGAGGATTTGAGAATTGACTTATTCACAGTTCAAAATACGTTATAAACATTGTTCCATCGTTTTATCTCTGTGTTGGAAAATTGACCAACTCAGATTGTGAATTATAAATTCTGTTAATATGATCTTTAGCACCAATTTGTGAAATTTGGCTGGGTGTTCACTTCTCAAACTATGTGCTGGAAAAGAGATCACGAATTCAAGGAAATTCACATATTCGGCAAAAAATATATAACAGATAATAAAAGTTTGAGTGAACAATTTTGTGCTGCAACTTTAAATCAAGAGTAAGTAAATTTTAAGTAACGGCAATTGTATTAGACTAGGTTACTAGTTATCTTGTACAATCCTAATTGTATCAGATTATTATTTTGTATAGTTCCAATTGTATTAGACTACATTACTAATTATCTTGTATAGTTTCAACTGTATTAGTTTATGTTACTATTTTCCTAGTGCCACTTGGCATCTTGTATCTCTACAGCTACATATTCATTCAGTGAGCAATACTTCGAGTGACTTACCAAACACATTACTTTTGTGCTCCTAAACAAGATCCTACGAAGGATGTTTAAGCTGAGACAAAGTGGGAGCATTGTAGTCATACCTAGTTCTGTTATGCATTCACAGAGTGCCCGACTAATCACAGATTTGAGCACTTGCAAAACGAAATTAATGATGGCTTCTTAAACAATAAAATCCACCATGTCATTGGGCTTGCACAAAGATATATCAGATGAGTAAAGCGTCCCCAAGGTGAAACCATAATAAGAAAAAAAAGATAACGTCCTCAAGGCTGGTTGCCATTTTCCAAATTACCATGTTAAATAAGAGCATGATTACAGATGCAATTGCCATAGCAATACAATAGAAGGCCCATGAATTGAAAATATGTTAAAATATAATTAAAGGGAGCTTAAATTGAAGAACATAACACTTTGGCACTTAAAAATGTACGTTTGATTGAAAAATTCTTGTGCCAACTATATCACCTGGAATAGCATCTTGAACACAAAAAATTTCTAATCGCCATTCAGTGTCCAAATCATTCAATGTGGAGTTTCATCAATATAGTTTTAGGTTTAGATAGTATTTCTGCAACTGTATCACCAGTAATAGCTTCTTGATTACATATACATTCTAATGCTCACCACTACAGTAAAGCTCATTCAACTTTACCTGAGAAATGAACAAGTTAAGCTGAGCACTTGACCCAACCAATTATCCCACCAAAGGTACCAGAGCCAAAGAGTCAAGGAAGAAACGGTTCCCCTTCATCTATAATGAGTACTAACATATTCAGAATATGTGATTCTCCTTGTTTAAAACATTAGAAAATGCTGTTTACTTGTCAAAAAAACAAAGATGAGAAAACAAAGAAAGTGAAATTCCATTTTCTTTATTACATAAACGACCTGTATATCAATTTTGTTGAGTGAAATACACAAATCTTGTAGTTCTTCTATTAATTATCTGATGTTTTGCATTAAAAGTTAGTTTGGTCGAACATGAAAGTTGCCTCTTTATGCTTATTTTGTATCCTAGTTGATCCCTTCTTGAATTGGTGGTCTTGTCATGTAAATTTGCCGATGAATAAGTAAATAATCATACCCGTGGAATGTTATATGTTTTCGTGTCTACACGCAATAATCTGAAAGCTTTAATATTTCTCTTTTTTTATCTAAAACTCATGTTTTAATTTGCTGAAATGAATGCTATGGTAGTCTTCTTAAAGCAGTCCCATTCAAAGTTATGGGGCAGTACTGAAATTCTCCCTAAAGCTGGAGAGTTTGAGTTTCCAGCATTAACAATGGCACTGGGATGATGAGAAAATTTATTTAACCATGTTGCTTAAGGTCTTATAAAAGTAATAGTTGGTTTAGCAAAGCTTGTTATATGACACTTGAACAACCTAACATTAATAATTTTTTACACGTCCAGGAATACTACAATGGTGACCTGGTGAAATGCGAGGAGGGTTTTGATAAATTGGGACGAACATCTCAGGTAAGTTGTACGATGGCCTTTTTCTTTGCACCTTCTCAGTCTTGTGGGTACTTGTTTTGTTTTCTTTTACTCTCAATTCTGAAACCATTTTAGAAAAGTGACACGGAAGAATTGATTCAGAACTTTGTACGCTTGATCACATTATCATGTTATGTATACCATATTATTAAAACTTTTAAGTTATGAGAAAGTAAAAATGGAATACACGCGCACACACATTTCAGTAATAATATGTCAAATTAAACTAATTTCTTTTGAGTTTTCAGGTAAATATCATTTGTGGAGATTGTCCAAATGGGCAATGTAAAGGTACGTGAGGCTTCATTTTTAGGTGTGGATCGAATTTATATGTGCTTAGCAAATACCCAATGGTTGTCATTTTGAATATACTAGCCTAATTGTCTGTTTTGTGTGCATTGGAATATGGGATTTGTGATGTTTTATTCCTCGTAACCAGTCAATCAGGACGATAAGTCTGATACATTTTTGTGGGGTGGTTATCAAATTGAAGTTGGGATCATGGTGCTCTCTCTCTCTCTCTCTCTCTCTCTCATATTATAAGTACAGCTAATCCAATCTTAAATATTTGAAAAGGTGAACTTAATAATTTTGCTTGTAAGTGTACTTTATAATATGTTTTTATGCGGCACCAGACCTATGTTTTTTATGCAGCACCAGACCTAATTAGTGCCGAATTTGTTATTTGTGATTTTGTTTTCTTGGGCTGTATCATTTTGTGGCATGAGTATCTATTCCCAGTATATTACTTCTATTTGATTGTTTCAGGTGGTGGATGCATCTGCAATGTAGCATATGAATCCACGTGCAGGTTTGCATTTATAGTTAGGCTCTCTGCTATTTCTCGTATCCCCGTATAATAATGAAGCCTCTTAAAGTCTTAATTATGCAATGTAAGAATTCCTGTAACATTTAGCTGATTATACGTTCAACTTTGTAAATTATACCACTGTTCTACCTTCTTATCAGAGTCCTTGTCGATCTTGCCATGCAATGTGAGAAGGCAGGTCTACGAGTATTTGAAGGCTTCACAGTCGGCTTCAATCCACGGTCATGGGAAATCGTAAAATACCTTAGTTACCCTTGCTAACAACTTGTGGGTGCGTAATCGATGATTTGATGGATTCCCTTAAATTTGTAGGTTTATAATGGCATGACTCAAGTTGGTTATGAGAAGGCTTATAATGAATTCAGGTACAAGATTTATTTTTCTCTGAGAATTTTGTGCTCAAAAGAAAGTAGAAACTGAAAAAATCATTTAAGGGCTACTAAAAAAAATTCCATCCTTCTAGTAATTAATCGAGATGTGATTGTATTTTTACTTGCCTCGTTATTTACAGCATTAAACTTCCATTCCTCTGGCCAGCTTATGTTATCACTTTACTTCTTTGGTTTTATGGAGAGACATCAATATCTAGGAAATTTTTGCACATAAAATCAATGCCTTGAACATCCTCATGAGGTTAAAGTATGAAAGTGAAGTTTTAGTAGAAAATTTTTGGAAAACGGAACACGTGATAACTGATAAGCTGACTCTGAGCTATTTTATTAAGTTAAAATTCATCTTTAATTGAAAAATCAAAGAAATGTCTCTTCCTTAGGATGTGGGTGGGTGAGTGGGGGTGATAAGATGATATTCATTTGCTGGACTTGCTAAGATGGAGTGTAGGACAATTATTGCGTGATAGGGAGTAATTTGTATTTATGGTACAAAACATGTTTGTCCACTTTCCTATGAATTCCTTATCTATCACTATCTATTTGCTACATACATTAACTTTATGTTGATGCTTAGAAGTTTTGCAAAATTAGTTTTAATCAACTTTTTCCTCGGTGGTGGTGCAGCTTCACAACTGAGCAAATGCATTTAACTCTTTATATGACTGCAGTTGCTTCCCTTTCTGGTTTAGTACGAAAACCAACAATCAAGGTTCTTACTTTCTAAAATCCTTTGTTTTAGCACGAGCTAGAAAGACATAATTGTTTGATTTGGTTCTGTATGACTAGTATTTTTTCTAATACCTCTTCCAGATTTCCCCGGAAGAAGGATTGGAGGTAAAATTGTCAGGCTCAGGAGCAAATGGCAGCCCGCCGACAACTTTATCACCCACGACGATACTTGTGGATTGGAGATGTAAATAGCTTCAACAATTATGTCTAATAATAGAATTTATCCTTTAACACAGTGGTTATCTATTCTTACTGACTGCTATCTATAAGCTTCTGCTTATCGCTTTGCAGGTGAAAAAGCTCGTGATATTCTTTATGAAGTTGAATTTACTATTCCGATAGAGAATTATGATCCGATTCAGTTTACCCTTGCAAAGAGTTGTGGTAAGTGTCAAGTGGTTATTGCTCGTTTTCTCTTCCACACGTTGTTTATCTCATCTCTTGCACCAACCCATGCACCTAAAAGAGCATCATATGCTCCTGGTTGATTGGAGTAATGCCAAAAGATTCTCCTCCCTTGACTTGAGGAACTAAAAATTAGCACCACAATATTTGGATTACTTTGAGCCCAAAACTATGATTTTGATTTGTTTATTATAAATTTAATTTCCTTGACCTTAGACTAAAATTAACTGAAGCAGTTGTATCTCAATTCTCAACTATCTTTCTTCACAAGCCCTGTTCAATTCTTCATGTTTTGGGTTTGATCTTCTAGTCTAAATTGATGGTCCCTCCCATGTCTACTATTTATCGTTGTGTCCACTGATATTTTATAGCTGAATCTTCCCACGCTTCTTGGATGCACTGGGATCAACTCATTATTCACGCCAATCTTACTTCTTTGGCTAAAATCGCCATTCCAATTGTTTCCTCCACTAAGATTTGCAGAAATGTATTATAAGAAATGACCCTCTCATGTGATTTATTTCAATGGCAAACTGTCCTTGTTGGTTTGGTACCTTTCTTTCTTTACACAAATGTAATCTTGTTTTATACTCGAGGAATTTTAGAATTTAACATTATCCAGTGTATTGAGAAGATATTGTGAAGACAGATGTTAAATCTGAAAAAGTTGTATTCTTGCATTTTGTTTTTCTCCTCACAGTCTATATCTTGCCACACAACATTCCACTGCAGAAACTGTCATTCAGGAGTAGCTTGTCTGGGCCAGATTGGGCATTAATCTTTCGTTTGGTTGTATCACTCTTTTTAAAGTTAGGAAAACCACATAAAGTAGTAGTTGTGCATCTTTCCATCCTGGTTCTGTTTGAATAAGTTTAAGATTCTGCAACAGCAGTCAATGCTCTTTGTGGAATGCGAATTCAACAATTTATATCCTGCTATCATGAAATATACTTGAAAATGAGTCAGGTCTTAGAACATATCTCTAGTAACTTCCTCTCAGCTAAATGTTAACTGCGCACATAATATCAACTAGCCCTTGACTTCCTGAAATGTGTTTCTGATAAGTGCTCTTGTACAAGGCCATTACCGCTTAACGTGTTGAAAATTATTTGTAACTTGTACAGAACACAGGCAAATTGAAGGTGGAGAATCTACAAGAGGATGGGCTATATTTGGGATCATATCTTGTGTGTATGTCAAATTTATGCCTCTGAATTCTTTTATCTTATGTGTTCCAAGTGTCCAATCATGAGTTCATTTGCATCACATGTCATTTTGCGAAGCATTCAAATTTCAAATGCTTTTGATGTTATTTGCCATACAAGTTTAGAATGTTCAATGTGTGCAAGAAAACATTAGTATTATATATATCCCGCTACTAAATTTTATTACTTGTGGCTCGTTTGCTTAATGGAATCTCATGGAGCAGATTCATTGTCGGATTTACACTGTTTTGCTGTGGAGGGTTTATTTATAAGACGCGAATGGAAAGCCAGGTAGATTTTATTTGCATCTCGTTATTGGCCTTAATAGTTTTTTATTTATTATTATTTTTTTTCATGGATATAAAATCTCTTTTACAAAATTGTAAAATATCTAATATCATATGCAGCGTGGGCTTGATGCACTTCCGGGAATGTCAATAATATCGGCATGTCTGGAAACTGTAAGTAGTGTTCCCTGTCATTTAGCGGTTTTCTGATTTTGGGATTCTTGAAGCTAGTTGATAAAGGAAGGGGAGGGTCTCTGTAGGAGCACCACTCCTCAATTCAAGGGAAAATTTAGCCAAAAAAAAAAAAAGATAAAAATTAAAAGAACATTTAGGCAATAATGATTATAAGAGCCATATTCACCATTACTTGTTAAATATCCAGTTTTCCACTGATGTTACTGGGTGGGATTGGTTGAGTGTAAACTTAACACTTCATTTTATTTGCATAATATGGTTGTAAATCCAAGAATTTTACCTCAATTCTGGGAATTAATGGCAGCAGAGGCGAAGATGCTGATTAAGAAGTGGTTGAACTCCTATTTTTTCGACTTGTAAAACTTATTCTCAAGTCTCCTGATCTTTTCGAATATTGTATCTGAAGGCTCACATTTTCAGTCATCTCATTTACCCTCCTATCTCGGAATGCACTGAAAATTCTCTTTCTAAACTGAAACTATGCAGGTGAGTGGAGGAGGGCACAACTATGCACGACCAGGAGATGCTAATAGTCCTTTTGTGAATCAAGCATCATGGGAACGTCCACCAACTTCTTCGACTCAAAGATCAACAAGAA